ACTAATGTATTTTATGTTTTATTCGATTAAACTGTTTTAGCGGTGACATCATATGGATCATCTACGATTTTAGTTTCTAATTGTTCTGCCTTAAGATCATATATAGTTTTAATAGTATCAAAGTTTTATGAATTCTCTTCTATATGTCCTTAGCATTTTCCATCACCATGTAACCTGGTAACTAGTATGTTTTCTTACATTATTGCCAATCATCGTAAATCAATTCTAAAAACTTGAACGCTGAACTCTGCCTTCCTAGAAGACAGATTGTCTCAATAAAAGCATCATTATACAATGTCTCGTAGGTTGTCAATAGTAAAACTAATTTGATTCTATTAAAATTCTGAGAAAATATTTGACGTAGGTTAACATGGTGTTATGATGTGTTTATTAATTTGATAACAGCGACCTTGACTTCTTCAGTCGTTTTTATGAATTGTTTATGAAAAATTCATCGAAATGTTCGTGTAACTTGTATTGCCATTATTTTTTTCAAGTTTACAATTACAACCGGTTCCATTTTCGATCATTATATCAATAATAACATTTAAATCAACATCACGATGTGTTTCAAGTTCAGTTTTATTACATCCAAAGAGCGACAGACTGCTGAATCGAACCTAGAATTATCAGTGCTTAGAACTGGCAGGCGGAATGTTAAACTCATCATAATAAAAGAGTACGGATGGCTTAATAACGGATGTTATGGTAATAGGGACACAGATACGTGTCACAGTCAACACAGCGATGACTAATATTCAGATTGTACCTCTAATACTTGGGATGAACGTTAATGAAGATGTTACTAAGTTAAACTCTACTCGTACTGCTGCCTCATTGGCCGAGTGGTCGCTAGTGCGACTGCCGGGCAAGGGGTCTCAGGTTTGATTCTCAGGTCGGGCAAAGTATTACTGGTTTTTTCTTTAATTGCCTATTACATGGGACGCATGACATAAATAGTGAAAAGTGGGTGTACCATTGTACAGTGGCATTAAGTGCCGTAATGTGTACCTTTGCCTATCTTTTCAGGGATTAAAGGCGTGGTGTTATGTTTTATGTAGGTATGTTCTACGCATACTACAATCAAGTAAAGATTTTTTTGACATTGTTTGCAGCTATTCTATTCAAAATCAAAAGAAAACTAGACCTGGATTAGCTGATATTTAAGTTCATGAACGAATTCTTGCGTCAGTTTCAATAATTTCAAGATTACTACTTAAACTAAACACACATCAACAGCCTATAAGTGGCCACTGCTGACCAAAGGTTTCTTCTCACACAGAGAAGGTTTAAGCATTAATCACTACGCTTGCTCAGTGCGGCTTGACGATTTCAAACTTACAATTATAAATTATAAGCCTATGTTCCCAGCGATGTCTAAATAATCTTAGAAACTATGTACATATAACTCGGGAAAAGTTACATTGGTACTCGCCGTTGGTAGGTTTAGTAGGGCGTCTTAAACCTCCGGGCCACCACAACACTATTAAACACGTTTATTAATATTTGAAAGTACGTACAGGAGTTTAATATCAAAAGCAAACGCAAGTCGAAAGCTATCGAATATCATTAGGATAAACAGAAGCTTACTATTTATAAATATAAACCTGAACAATCCATGTCTTTATGCTAAGGGAATGCGGCTATCCATTTCACAGGACATAGACCTTTAATTATTAAACTATGCAAAGTTATTATGTTCAATTTACCATGAAATTGGTGTAGACGTTCACAGTGCATTAATAATTTAATTTAAGACCATTTTAAATCGAGTTTTGTATGGTCGGATGTATGAATGTGATGGACGCTAAAGGATTATGTTAGGATCGTAATAATAGGTAGGCAGGCTATAGTTTTCGTGATATGGTTCACAGCTGAATATAAGATCAGCTGGCTGGAAGCGACCTGCGTTCAATGGCTACCTGTGACCTTTGTCAGGTATGTACTTTCATTTTATCCCTTGGTTACTACCATACCAGTTGATAAAATAACATTCTTTTTAAAGAATTTGTGCATTAGACGGCATTTTTTCCTAAAATTAGATGTTGCCGTAATCAGTGTTATCAAAATTTGTGGTATGTTTGCAGATGACTTTTTATTTACGACATATTGTTGTGTGTCTAGACTTAAAGACCTTCATAATGACTAAGATAGACTCGAATTCAGGCCGAAAAATATAGTGAAATGTAAAGTAAGTTTTGTCGTAGTTAGACTGAATTGGAAATTCGTAAATTGTGTGTCTAATTTTGTCAACAAGGAAGGATATCATTGATTAACTCTTTGTTCCGAGGAAATGGTAGATTGGGATCAAAAATAACAGGAATCTATATCATATAGGTCGACTGTTAAATGTAAAGTATTAAGTACACTGCAATCTGGAGTGTTTGAACGTGGGCGAGTGTACTCGTACGTTACTGTTTAGACGAGTCAAGTACTGACGTACTAACAGAACACTAGAGCCCCTTGAACTAATCTCACTAACAAAATCGGGCGAATGCATTCTTCAACAAATTGTGGCACTTATTACTTACCAGCGCTTCAAGCTAGTCTATTGTGTGAAATAGATTTCCTGCCTTATTATTTTGATTTAAAGTTGAAAATGTTCTGGAGGTTTTAGGGTGTTTCGGGTAACTTTGTGTTGTATGTTTTGGTTAAACCCTTTACAATTAATTTGAATTTTGAACGGTCTTTGTGAATTTGATATGGCTAAACTCAATGTAAGTTAAAAGGTGTTTTACGTGTAATAACATTGGACAAACTATTCAACAGAAATTGACACAAAGTACAAAGATTGCATGGCATGGTTGACGCAGGGGTTGGGCGATTGCTATGCAACGTAAATACCCTTCGGATACCTGATAAGGGATAGAGGTGAAACTAAAAGGCCAGACAGATTTTTACTTAACCTAGAAATAAGAACTATTCTAATAATAAAGTAGGAAACCTATAAATAATGATCAGTCATTACTAAATGGTACAAACGAATACCGTTTATCCTTTATTTAGTGAAAATTACATACTCTGTTCCTGAGTTACATCACTTACATAAGTTCACTTTTATGATACGAAAACCAGCGCAAGCGCCACTTAAAGCTGGCGCCATTTTATGTCTCTCGCACTTCATAAAGATACGTGTCATGGTGGTCATTATTACTATTGATATAGCAGGCCACTTATTCAGATAAGCAGATGTACATTAACCCTTTAAATTAAGTAATATCGGTCAAATTTAAAATCTGTCAATTGATCCAGGTTTCTGAAAGAAACGTCATAGAACTAGTGAACAAAAATCTATCTTCGTCCAAAGATCTAAGATTGAATTTAGTAATTAATTCAGCCGTTAATGTAACATCTATTTCCGTGATCAGAGTCCCGTGTAACTAGAGGATGAACCTGTTGCCGCCGCACTAGAAGTACCATTAGAGTTTTTTTTTGAAAATCGAATTCGGTTTTTTTTCTATATTTTCTACTTGATATACTTTTTTATTAATTTAGTGTGATTGTCTGAAAAAGGAGTATAAAGCTGTTAGACGGTGTAAGTATAGATAGTATATCCACGGTAGTTTCTCGTAGCTCATATGTTTGCAATTATGCAAGCCGTTCAGCATTGATTACATCGCATCGCTATATATCGTTTGAGTGCACTCGAAACTGCATGTCCTATTTATACAAACTGCTATTTATAAGTTCTCGTTTGTTATTATACAGTGCTTAGTTTTGTGAGTTATTTATAGGTATTTGAACTACGTTGGTTGCCACGTTATTTCAGTGGTCGCCAGTTCGTCCTTTGAGAAAGTGAGGTCCCTAAAAGCGATAATTTTGTAGCAAATGTGCACATATATAATGTAAATGACTGCACGGTTGGTGCGGTGGCTGGGCAACCGGCTGCCATGCAACGTGTCGCGGGTTCGATTCCCGCACGAAACAATACTTTGTGTGATCCACAAATAGCTGTTTCGGGTCTGGGTGTCATGTTTATGTGAACTTGTATGTTCGTAAACGCACCCACGACACAGGAGATAATCCTAGTGTGGGGCAACGTTTTAATAAAAAAAAACTACCACTTAACGAGTCTCACATTATAAGGGCTAAGTTTATTTCTAGATACCGGTCAAGTTTCTAGACTCCGTTGTATTACTGGGACTTTTTCGAGTAACTTCCAAATTATTTTTACAAATGCAGCAGTAAAAAGTTTAATCAGAATTTTATTATTTTCTGAGAATTTTTATAGGAGCGTTGTCAAGCTGTCATTATTAATTAGTTGGTTAAGTACTATGCAGGTATATTAGAGAGAGGTTAAGTATAAAATCTCTAAAGCTACCTCATGGTTTTTAAAGCTATCGAGCCGATGAATAGCCTAATGCTAAGTAAGCAGCGCCACCTAGGCACATTCGTAATCCACAACTGCAGACGAATCACAAGTTTTTCAAAATGAACTCTTTTTGAAGGAAGATTGTATAGGTTCAAATATAACTAGTTTTCAAAACTAAAATATTATAAGATATTTTGAGACGTCATCTTTGAAGATGTCTGCTGAGTCATTAGGGCAAATGATCATAAATCTCACTTCATTCACTGACAACCTTGCTTGAACGACATCAATTGAACTGATCTGAATAATGTAGGCATTTTGATTTTAAGTATGTACTTGTTTCTTGTCCATTCATGCATAATGTTTAATAATAATGTTGGCGTAGATTGGTGGTGTGATCTTCTTCCGAAGCTAATAGTTATTTTCATAATAGAAGATGGAGCTATCCCTGTAAAATTACAGTAGCAGTCAAGTGAAGTTATTGAAGAAAGATATCCTCTCTCTTCAAAAAGAACTGTTAGTGCGATAAAAATGACTTCTAGACATGAATCTATTTAATTTCTGGCCTATCAATCTAATTCGCTTGCACCTTCAAAAATTATCATTATGTTGATCCTTCTTCACAGTCTATTCGAGAACTTTCTGCTCAAGTCTTCGATGAAAGACCTGTAAATGAGAAGGTACTTACGGTTGGGACAGTTGGCTTCATCAGTTCCATCAGTGCAGTCGCTGGCACCATCGCAGACGCGGTTCGGTTCAATGCAGCGCATGACGTCACACCGAATGTAGGTTGGGGGGCAGGCTATGGAAGAACAGATAGAAAAATAAAAATTTAAAAAGGTTTTTTACAGAACTTACAATTTACAGTGTTTCCCGAACAGGAACGAAGTGTTTGTTGAACATTCTTTCAATATTGAAGAAGCTAAAATATTATGTACTAGCAGCCCGTCCCGGCTTCGCACAGGGTAGACAATTATTTATTTTTGGAAATTTGGATTGTTGCAGTGACATAGCTACAATAGTTGGACATTTGCTACCGCGGAGTTTATTGTAGACATTATGATGTTCTTCAATATTGTTGTACATTATTTTGTTCTATCGCTAATAGTTTCGGCAGCGCATTCGACGAAAGACATTTTAAGACTCATTTTTCTACACCTCCAGTTACATTGTTCAAATTTTACCAAGGATCCCTAATTTTTTTGAAAATGAAATGTAGCCCATGTCAAATTGGAAGAATGTAGCATTCTATTGGTGAAAGAATTTTTTAAATCGGCCCTGTAATTTTTGAGCCTATTCATTACAAACATACAAAAATAGGTACAAATATTTCCTCTTTATAATATTAGTATAGATTTAAGTTCTATGATTATGATTTACAAACTACTCATTAAAAACCAGAGTAAAATCGTGTTTCCATAAAAGACTATCCTTGATCGTTTTGAATCTCTTTAAGTACCACTAGTTTTTCACTTATAATATAAAATATTATGAGATTATAGCATTAATATTGAACGCACTGATTTTAATAGCGAAGGAGTAAATTGTGATCAACCATGGACTTATAACTGAACTCTATTCAATATGTCTTCGTATTGTATAATTTTACTTCTTAATTTTTTTTTTAAATAACAGTAAAATAAAATAAATATCATCAATAAAATGTTAATCCAGTATCCCACCGGTAATGGGAGAAGTCCAAACTACCAACATCGTATTGAATTAATTATTAGGTTATGCATCTGACACTCGCTGCGCAAGTTTTTGCGCATGATACTCATGATTATGAGATACTGGTGTGGCTTGAAACTGGATGAGTAAGACTAATTATACTTTGTTCTGGTAGTGCGGATACCATTACAGAGGGCTATGAGTTTGTTTTAATAAGAATTAGAGACCCAGTTCAGTGCTCTGATTGGTGGGTTCATTGGGGTCGGCCAATGAGAGCGAAATCGATGCGTTCACATCTGGCAAATGCTCGCAAGCCGCTCACGAGCCACCCACGAGCTGCGCACAAGCAGGCACGGCGATGGTTTGGTATTAAACCCACAACATTTGTATAAATAACAACTTTGAATGCTCGTAAGCTGCTCATTGCGGAGCATTCGCCAGATATGGACGCACCCTAAAACAAACTCGTACTTAGCCTTTAGGAAGTGGAATAGTTACAGATTAATGTTTTTTCTTCACATAATTAGTTGCATATTGATACAAAATTACACACAAACGATCTTATTAATAAAAATCACCTATTCCAAACTTATTCACAGGTTAGTCTTGGACTAGCTAATCCCGGACTAACAAAGTATTAACAAAGTATTAAGGTTGGCAGTTGCCAACCTGAACCTTAATAAATATTCTTGGAAGTTTTCCAAGAATATTTATTAAGCTACTTTTCAAAACTAAGGTCAATTTTATTTTTGTATGAAACAATAGGTTTCTTTTAACAACGCTCTTAACATATTAGGCACGTATGTATAAACCGTTGTTTTTTTTCTTTTTCAGGATATACTTAATAAGATTACTGTAGGTACTAGGTATGTTTTACAGGTGTGTTAAGTCAAGTAATTACTGTACCTTAAAAACTAAAATCATAAAAAAAAAATATAAAGTACCAAATTCAGCAGCGGTGACAGCAGGTACTCTGACTGTAGTCTCTGGCAGCTCCGTAGGCAGATTTTCGGTAGTGGCTTTAAAAAATAAAAATAAAAAAATAACAAAACTAAAAGAAAAAAATCACAAAAAGGAACATAAAAAAGAACATATGAAATTACTAATTCCTATACTGAAAACTCTCTGTGCGCTCAAGTGTAGTAAGATTATAAAGGGCATTGACTAAAATTGGTGCCTTTCTTTTTTCTGGCGGCAGTCGATGATTTATGGAAAATATTATCTAGAATGACATTACAAACGAAATTGTGTATGGGCTCACATATGGAAATCTCAGTCTGGACTGAGTTATGAGCGTCGAAAAGAGCTGAAGTCAAACATTTTACTTTGGTTTTTTTATTCAAATTATTCATATTTTTGTCACAATTCCTAACTTCAAATTGCGCGCCACTGTACGCCGGGCACAGGAACACCATATCACACCACAATATATCCATATTGCCAGGCACTAATTTTTATTTGCTATTTTCTCTCAGTCGATAATTTGTGGGATGCTTCTAGGAGTTGTGTCATGAAGCTCCATGAGCGTCAGCTGAGGTACCAGTGGTGGGTTGAGTAGTGG